GTGAACCTAGGAGAAGAGGTAATTCTGACTTTGCTATGACAATCTGGCGCTTCTGAATCTGCTACTGTTTTGTTATTAGTTTAAGTATTTGCTATTGACTGTTCAAATGCGGAGTTTTGCGCATCGTGTGTGTGTGTGTGTGTGCTGTGTGAGCGCGAGAGGGGGGGGGGGTCACATCAAAGTGGAGTCAGCTGTCTTAACCGTGGCTTGTGTACTGCAAACACATACCAGCTTCATCACTGTGTCTGTCACGCGACTCTGTTCCCCTTTCAGGCTGTCTTTACATTTATTTTGAAAGCTGAAGCTGTGATTAAGGTAAGGGCCGTTACATTTCCGACGAGTGCTTGCGGTGTTCGGCCAATCACAATGCACTGGGTCAGCTGGCCAATCAGAGCAGACTGCACTTGTCGGAAGGAGGGACTTTGTAGAAAACGAAGCGTTTGAGAGAGGCGGGGCATAGAGGACCTACAATAATGTACAGTATTTGAAACATAATGTGTTTTTTTAACATTAAAGCATGTCAGCAATAATGATCTTTAAAAAAAGCATCATATGACCCCTTTAAAATAAAAAAGTTAAACAGTGTTCTGTGGACCAGTTTCTCTTAATTATTACATGAGCTGAAGAAAAATGCTTATTAGTACGGTTGAACTGGATCATCGAAGGTCAGAAGCAAAGACATTGGTTAATAGAATGGGATTAAATACATAAAGCATATTTGTGTTGTTTAACATTTAATTATTGCAGGTTTGCGTCATTCTGAGTTGCATTATTTTTATTCATTTTGAGGAATACTGAATCTGTGTTTTTTGTGTGTGAGTGAGATGAATTAATGCATATTCATATTTATGTTGAACTACAGTAACATCAGATTTATCTCAATGTGGGGACAGGAGAGCTGTCAGTCAATAAATTGAAAAAAGAAGAAGAAAGTAACTCAGATATTCTCTTGTAAATTAAAAAGTAATGCGTTACTTTACTAGTTACTTGAAAAAAGTAATCTGATTACGTAACTTGCGTTACTTGTAATATATTACCCCCAACACTGTACATTAATAATACACAATGAAATGTTAAGAATATGACATAAAACATGACATACAATTAATAAGGATAGAAAATATTTGCCTTTATAAAGGTAAAAAATGCACCTGTAAATCAATTTAAGGGGGCAAATATTGTCCTTCAATAGAAAAGGTGTGACTGTGACTAAGTGGAAGAGAGGGGGTACGCAGAAGAATGTTAAATGCCCCAGTGGGTGCGCCGCTGTAAAAAGTTTGAGAACCACTGGGCTAAACGAACCGCACACACTCATCAAACGAACCGGGCTTTGGGGGTCAAACGCGCTCGGGCAAAGTTCAAAACTGCTAGTGTGAGTACACCCAAGTGTGCTTATCATTTGGCAAAGGATGGTTGTGGAGGGATTCCCGTGTGCAGCTAATGATTGAAGTCTCAGAGCAGTCAGTAAATACCACATGAGCTGTGAGTTTAACCTGCTTATTTTACGACTCCTCCGTATCCAGTTTAAGTTGCATTCCTTGTATAAAAGCAATATATCACTCGAGACTGTGCTGTATTGTGAATTTGCACATCATACTTAATACCGTTTAGACATTTACTGCTATATTCACAATAGAACACAGCCTCTTGTACCTTAAATAAATATAATATGACATAGAATCAGAATTAGCTTTATTGCCAGGTATGATTACACATGCAAGGAATTTGTTCATAATATAATATAATGTAATATAATGATTCGTATAATTAAGAGCACATCGTTTAATTTAGGCAGGGCAAGAACTGAAGACAACAATGCAATACATGATGAGTGGTTAATGATTTATTTCTAATGATTTTATCTGAAGGAGAGAAATGTGACTGTGTTCTGAAGTGTGTCTACTAGGGTTGAGTCGCAGTCAAACAAGCCTGGAATGTGACAGGATTGGATCAGTTTGATCACAAGGATCCAAATAAGAATAAGACTGTGGTGGATAAACAAAAATTACTAAATTGCAATTCACAAATTCACATTCAACTCCTTCTGTATATTGTGTAATGTTTCTCAGAAAGCTACACGGACTATTTTGCAATGAGATCTTGCTATTGAACAATAAGTTAAACACAGAGGAAGCTGTAGGAATTTTGTTATTTTGTAGGAGTTTTGTTGTTTGCAATCCAGCAAGGTTTTGATGTTCTACAAAAGCCTCAGTCGGACACATAACAAACACAGCTTTTGTTCTGTGTTGGATCCCATGAGCAAATTATAATAAATCCTTCTGGATTGATTGATTGATAGGACTCCAAAAGCGATCCTGCGCAAATTCCTGGGATTGTTTGACTGCATGAGATCTGTCTGATCAGTGATTCTCAACAACACACGTCCAGGCCCTTCCCTTGTATGTTATTTATTTCTAAATATTCTGCCATTTGTCGATGGTTTTGAGTTGTTTAGTGCTTGTTTCTTTTTTTTTATCGCGCAAAACAGTGAAACATTCCACGAGTGCGTTTCCAGCGGTCTGAAACTACTGTCTGGTTAACGTTAGGCGTTGTTGTGCAACTTTTCCTGTCAAAACAACAGACCTTGAGCGGATAGTACAGCGAAAGCCGCACAATTACAACAGCTCTTGCTGTTTTGTATGTCGGGAAGCTAGAGACATACAGTTAGAAGTGACCACAGACTGAAAAACAGCTTACCGTGTAGTGCTCTTCATGCAGTGCGCACAGCTGAACTGTAGAGGTGTGGAAGGACTGCGCGAAACCCCTCCCACTCCACGGTCCTACTGCGCACTGAAAGCTAGCGCTGTGGACGGAGCCTGTGTTAGCACCTCCCATTCGGTCAGCTGGGGCCTCAGCTTTAGCCCCTCCCACACTAGACTGTCCTAAATGCATCCATGTGTTTTACAACTTCAACAAGACAGACAGCTGGACATACGATCGTTTTACCCATTGTTGTCCAAGACTAATATACTTTCTTAAATACGAAAATTCATTATCGAAATGCCATAAGCTAAATGTATGATTGATTAAAGTTATAATTAAATGTATTGAATTAGAATTGGTTAGAATTACATTTATTTATTTATTGTAGTCTACTTGTGGGAAGCTACAGTGTCAGTGAAACTGTCAAATTCGTTAACTTTTATATTTATGAAATGACACAGTGACTGTTAAAAGCTATGAAATTGAATGTGAATTTACTGTAGAACTGTGAAAATCTTTGTTTGTTTCTTTTACATTTATTAATTTAGCAGACGCTTTTATCCAAATGGACTTACAATTGGGGAATACATCAAGCAATTAATCTTAAAGAGGCAAATAGACACAGGAAGGGCTCATAATACCAAGTTTCAAGCATTGTTCAAATAAGTACAAGCTAGACAGGAAAAGAAAAGAGAGAGAGAATATATATATATATATATATATATATATATAACAAGACAAAACCTTGTATCCTGAATCTAGATAAAAAAACTAACAGGGAATCCTTTCAGTTTGATTTATTTGTTTGGTTGGTTGATTGTTGGTTTTCTGCAAACATCTAAAATAAAACAATAACAATCAGTAGTACTTAAGTACTGCTAACATATCAACATATCAAATAATGCAAAAAAAGAGAGAGATGTAACATATCTACACTTAATAATAGTAGATAATACTATAATAATAGGTAATAATAGACCATATCACAGTACTGACTGAGACTGCTCCCATTAGAGTTACAAATAACCTGCTCTAATCATCTGATCGTGGTTGTATCTCTCTATTAGTGCTACTGGATCTTAGTGCTGTGTTCGACACTATTGACCACAACATTCTTTTGAATAGACTAGAAAACTTTGTTGGCATTAATGGAAGTGCATTAGCATGGTTCAAATCGTACTTATCTGACCGCCATCAATTCGTAGCAGTGAATGAAGAGGTATCATATTGATCATAAGTGCAGTATGGAGTACCTCAAGGCTCAGTACTAGGTCCGTTACTTTTGATGCTTTACATGTTACCCTTGGGAGATATCATCAGGAAACACTGTGTTAGCTTTCACTGTTATGCTGATGATACTCAGCTCTATATTTCTTTGCGGCCCGTTGAAACATACCATACCATTCTGCACGCGTAATAAACAAACTCCAGCTGGTCCAAAATTCTGCAGCTAGAGTTCTTGCTAGAACCAGGAAGTATGACCATATTAGCCCGGTTCTGTCAACACTGCACTGGCTCCCTATTGAACATCGTATAGATTTTTAAATCTTGCTTATTACTTATAAAGCCCTGAATGGTTTAGCACCTCAGTATTTGAACGAGCTCTTATTGCATTATATTCCTCCACGTCTGCTGCATTCTCAAAACTCTGGCAATTTGATAATACCTAGAATATCAAAATCAATTGCGGGCGGCAGATCCTTTTTCTATTTAGAGCCCAAACTCTGGAATAACCTACCTAACATTGTTCGGGAGGCAGACACACTTAAATCTAGATTAAAGACCCATCGCTTTAACCTGGCTTACACATAACACACTAACACATTTCTAATATTCAAATCTGTTAAAGATTTGGGTGGTTCCTCTACAATCAAAAGTTATATTAGATAGCAACTTGTCTTTTGAAAATCATATTTCACATGTTACAAAAACAGCATTCTTCCATCTTAGAAACATTGCCAAGTTACGAAACATGTTACCCGTTTCTGATGCAGAAAAGCTAGTTCATGCATTCATGACCTCTAGACTGGACTATTGTAATGCACTTTTTGGTGGTTGTCCTGCATCTTCAATAAACAAGCTACAGGTAGTCCAAAATTCAGCGGCTAGAGTCCTTACCAGGTCAAGAAAATATGATAATATTACCCCAATTTTACAGTCTCTGCACTGGCTACCTATTAAGTTCCGTATCAGTTACAAAATATTATTACTTACCTATAAGGCTTAGCTCCTGGGTTAGCGCCTGCATACCTAACTAGACTTCTACCACGCTACAATCCATCACGCTCCCTAAGGTCGCAGAACTCTGGACTTTTGGTAGTACCTAGGATAGCAAAGTCCACTAAAGAAGGTAGAGCTTTTTCGCATTTGGCCTCCAAACTCTGTAATAGCCTTCCTGATAACGTTCGGGGTTCATACACACTCTGTCTGTTTAAATCTAGATTAAAGACACATCTCTTTGGCCAAGCATTCAATAATGCATCTCATAATCTTGTACTGCAGTTATATCGGATCAAATGCACATTATTATTCTTTAGCTTGGGTTAAACAAATCAATTTTGCTTCAGTCTGGATCCAGAACACCTGAGAAGAGATGATGCCAACCCCTCAGAGGACCTCAGATGATGCCAACCCTGAAACAACATACAGAACTACCAAATTTTGCTATAAGTTTGATTGCATTCATATAATAATTGCTGTTAATAGTGTTCATCGTCTGTTTGATTACGTCTTTAATTGATTACATCTTTAATTGATTTTTCCGTACATTTCTGCCATACGTACATTAACTGACAGTCACCACTGATAAGCTACCACTAAATATTGTAGAAACTTAATTTGCTGTAAAGTTGCTTTGCAACTATTTGTATCGTGAAAAGCGCTATACAAATAAACTTGAATTGAATTAAAGGATTTTTAGGCTGCATTAATTGGGACAACCGGAACCGGGAACACTTCACATAACACCCGATGTACTTGCTACATCATTAGAAGAATGGCATCCACGCTAATATTAGTCTGTTTCTTTCTTATTCCGAGGTCACCGTAGCCACCAGATCCAGCCTGTATCCAGATCAGATGGTCACTGCAGTCACCCGGATTCAGTCCGTATCCAGCCCAGATGGTTGATCAGGACCTAGAGATGACCTCGACAGCCCTGAATGTCAGTGGAGATCAGGACAACTAGATGAGCCCCAGAGGCCGATCCTCAGTGAAGACCTTGTCTCCTAGACGGCCACCGGGACAAGACCACAGGAACCAGTTGAGTCCTCTGCACAATGTGACTTTGCTGCAGCCTGGAATTGAACTGCTGGTTTCGTCTGGTCAGAGGAGAACTTGCCCCCCGACTGAGCCAGGTTTCTCCCAAGGTTTGAACAAAATATTTTGAACAAAAAGCTGAAAAAAGACTATGAATTGGATTCAGAATGATAATCAAAATGTAGATAAAGTCGATCAACACCCCAAAGCTTAACAGTCATTATTACCTCTTCATTGGGCGCCATTTTATTCCATCATCTTACATAGTTTTGATACTGTTTGATGTCTGATGATCGTGTTAGAATACATGTGGAAGCATCTGTTGTTTCGGTTTCTTCTTCACTTGTGTTTTTTGGAAATTCTGTACAGAAGATGTGTACTAGCGCCCCCTACAGTATAACAATGAAAACACGAATTCTAGGAACACAAGTATAGCTCAAATATATTTAGACTTTTTCTAAGTATAAGTCAAGTATACTTAAATGTCATTTTAAATATATTTCTGAGAAGTACATAAAGCCCATTTCTGAGAAGTACATAAAAAGTAGACTAAAAGTACACTTTCCTATTTTTAGTTTAAAAGAAGTATACTAATAGCACACTTGAATAAACTTCTTTTTCGTAAGGGTAAGGTAATACAAAGTGATCAAGGAACAAATTTTGTGTCTAAACTCTTTAAACAGGTACTACAGTCACTCGTAATTACTCACCGCATTTCAAGTGCATACCATCCTGAGAGTCAGGGTGCGCTTGAACGTTTTTGCCAGACGCTCAAGTCTATGCTTAGAAAGTATTGCCTAAACACAGCTAGGGACTGGGATGATGGAGTCCCCTTGGTTTTATTTGCCGTGAGAGAGACTGTACAAGAACCTCTTGGTTTTAGTCCGGCCGAGCTTGTATTCGGACAGGTGAGAGGACTGCTAAAAGTTCTAAAACAACAAATGCTGACTATTGTGTCAAGTCCGAAAACTAATATATTGGATTATTTTAGTCAATTTCGTGATCATTTAAACTCTGCGTGCACACTAGCTAAAGAGTCTCTAGCCAGTGCGCAGAAAGGCATGAAGCACAAGTACGATCGGAAGGCTGTTGCATGCTCTTTTATGCCTGGTGATGAAGTGCTTGTACAGGTTCAGGTTCTGTGTCAGATTCATTCCTCTCAATTCGATTCTTTGGTCCTTATAACATAAAAAATTAATTCTGAGTTTAGTTTTTAACAGGAGATGTCACTGCGTGCTTTAGAAACAGCCATAATCTGCTTGCTTCCAGTTCCTTAAATGTACCACTTGAACATAAAATAATAATTCATACGGTTCTAAAAGGTTGAAGCGAATTACAAGAGTGTTCACAGTGGGCTGTGTTTACATTAATCTCACATCATAAAAGCATAAAAGCAAAGGTGCAAGTACATTTAACCACTTACATTACTCAGCTGAATGCAGAAGCAGTCTTCTTCATGAGCTTTGAGTCTGCAGTTAAAAAACTAGCCTAGGGTACCATCTGCTGTTAAAAACTAAGCTCAGAATCGATTCCAGAGAGAATTGCAATGCATTTGGAAAATCACAGAATCGATCCACAAATTGATTTATTGTCACACCCCTAGTAAACATAAAACCATTTCTGCATTTGTGATCAGATAAACGACAAACAACAAGCGCTACTCTACACTGCTCAAAACTCACGTTTGAATAGTCAGTAGCAAACTCTTTAAATATGAAAACGTACTTACAGGCTGTGAGTCAGAAGTGCCAGACTGTCCTTGCAAAGTTGGAATTGCCCCACTTAGAAACAGCCTTTGTGCACAGCCGGCATTG